AGCAAGGGATACAGATGGAAATGGATGAACTCATAACTAATTTCCTTCCCTTATGATCCCCATGATGTTACAACAGTTCCTTCCCTATCAGGGTCTCCATATTGCTTACGTTTGTCTGATTTTCTGCTAAGACAGCTCTATGGGGTGTGATATGAGATCCTCTTCCTTTTCCTATTCTAACTGCCTAACAGGAGATGTTTAAGAGTTAAAAACAACAAAGGTGCATGCTATGATATACACAATCCTGGGCCTGGGGGCTCAGAGCCATTGTCTTGGGAGACACCAAGATCAATCGGCATAACATTGTCCACAAAGACAATATTCTGTATCTATTTTGACTAGTAGCAACTGGGGTCTTAAAAGCTTGGAAGTGGCTATTCAAGGTGCAGTTATTGGCTTCTCCCTCTCCAGAGGCAAGAAGAGTGATAAAAATCAGACATGAAAATTACTAGTCCAATGGACTAATGAACAACAAAAATATCAGTCTCACAGTCAAAAACATGATACTTTACCACTCTTGCTTGAGCTCTGTAAAAATGGCATTATTTTTGGATAAATATAATAATAATAGGGAGAGGTGGGGCTTGATGGTGGCTAGGGTGGAGGTGCAGTGAGGTTCTCCGTCAGCAATACTACAGAATACCAGACAAAGCAGATTCAGAGCAGAGTTCTAAAACTCAGAACCACATAGGTAGGAATATTTTAAAAGTTTGAAGGCTTATACTAGTGGAACTTATAGCGAAAGTAAGAAATAGTGTATTTTTGAATCTGCTGGGCTTAGTGGCCTGAAGCCAACAACTTGGGTGAGACCAAATGGCAAGAGCAAGCAGGGGAGCAGACACACAAAAGAAAAATGCTGCGGGAACCTCAGAGCAAAGGTGGACAATATACTTTGTCAGGTTTGCTCTGTTCTGATTTTCATTTTTGCTATCTGTACATTGGCCCCTCACTCTTTACACACCTCCATTCTGGTGACTAGAGGGGGTGCCTGAGCAAGTGGACACCCCCCACCCAGAATCTTCTGAGGTAGGAAATTTCCACTAGGAAGGTCATGCCAACCAGCCTGGAGCAGCTAGAAGAACAGAAGATACTTTTTGAAAGAAAGACAGACAGGAAAAATACAAAACAATACAGGTAGTCTGACTGATTACTACAAGAACAAGCAAGTTGCTCGCCCAGGAGACATCAAGCCAAATGGTCGGGTCCCCTCAGAGCAAACCCCCTTCCAAGACTAAGACTCAATGGGAATACATGCTCTGATTGGTGACCACGTTAGTCACAGATAAGAGGAAGTGAGGGAAAAACCTCAATGAAGCTGCAAGCTAAGCCCTACAACATTCAATAGACTCCTGTGAACCCTGGTGGAGACCTGGTAGGCCAGCAGTGTTGCAAAACCTGGGGACTCTTGGGCCCAGAGTCAGTGACATAGCCATAGAGGATTAGAGTGGAGAGTGAAGCATCCAGCTGATGAGAAGAGAAGGTATATGCATAAGAACATCCACATTTGCAGATAATACCCACTTGACCTGGTTTCAATGACTGGATGATCAGAGCTCAACCAGGAGAAGAACAAAGAGAAAAAAAAGAGTGATCTGATACAATTTGATGAACTTGACCTACACCTATGGATGCAGTAGCTCAAAAGAGGGAATAAATCTTTACAGTGAGGATTATTCCCTCCCCCTCCATACACAGAGTAGGCAGGGATGGGCAACTTGGACATTGGCTACCCAAAATGGGGGGTGGGGGGAGGCTACAAAGGCAAGAAGTGATTGGCTTACAAGCTTTCAAGAGGGAATCTAGATCTAGAGGGCGTGGAGGAATGTAGAATCTCTATTGAGTAATATCCAATCTGTCTGAGCAGGGCTGATGAAAAGAGATGCGGATAGGTCTCTTTTGCTACAATAATGAATAATTGTTATCAGGACTGATTGTGAGGGTTGGAAATATAAAGGTAGACGTTTTGTAGCAAAAGGAGGGGAATGATTGACTTTGTAGTCTAGGCACAGAGGACCATCAAGGGAGAAGAACGGAGCATAGCACCCTACCCAGAAAAGCAGTAACACCATAGTTGGAGGCAGAGATGATGATGTGGAGAGATTGAGCAGTTGGGGACTCTAGACCCAGAGAGGGGCTGTTTGCTGACAACCGTGGGCAGGCTTGCAGGGTATACCCTTTGATTGGTTGATGATGCATGGAGGGGACTGTAACCATCACAATAAAATATTTAAAAAATAATAATAACTTTGCTTTGAGATTGTCTTTTGATCAAAAGGAGGGTGACTGTAGAGAGAAAATGTGTTTCAAAAGAAAATTATGGTAAGCTCTTGTGGGCTGTCCAGTTCTAGTTCTGTTCATTGTCTTCTTTGTAAAATATAACAAATGGTTTTAGTTCCTACTTGTAAATCAAAACAGTTCTTGTTACAAGCTTTATGCTTTTCCCTATATGACTACACATACCAATTGTTCAAATAAAAATTAGAAATATGAGACCGACAATTTAAAAACAAGAGAACAAACGTTTGCCCACTTGATGCAGCACTAAATGGAAATAGAAAAAATCCACAAAATAAAGGCAAATTTATAGGATGTTCAATTATGGAAATAGTTCCTTTAATCATACTTATAGCTACTGAGTTGATTTCAACTCATAATGATCGTAAGGTTTCTGAGACTGTAAATCTTAGTGGGAGCAGACAACCTCATTTTTCTCCCTCTGGGTGACTGGGGGTTTGAACCACTGACCTTGTAGTTAGCAGGCCAACACCTAACTCACAGTACTACTAGGGCTTCATCCTTTAGTCACAAGAGTTACTATCCTGGTGATAGAGGTATGTTGTGGAGTCAGTTCTGACTCATAGGGACCTTGCACAGGGTTTATGAGGCTGTAAATCTTTCTGGGAGCAGAAAGCTTCATCTTTCTCCTTTGGAATGGTTGGTAGTTTTGAACTGCTGAACTTGAGGTAGCAACCCGACTCGTAACCACTATGCTACAAGGTCTTTAGTTCAGAGGAATTATTCAAATCTTTGTTATTATTCTCTTAGTGATTTACTACGTTTTAGAAGAAGCCTTATATATTCCTACTATGTGTAGTCTCAAGGATCTCCAGTACATGTATTTTTGACCAAGTTCTTGTTGTTGTTAAGTGCCATGTTGTTGTTGCTAAGTACCATGTTGCTAAGTGCTATGGTTCCAACTCATAGCCACCCTGTATAGGGTTTCTGAGGAGCGGCTGGTGGGTTTGAACTGCCAACTTTATGGTTAGTAGTTCAGTGCGTATCCTACAGTGCCACACCAAGTCAAGTGCTTAGTATCCCCCAGAATATTACCAAGAGGAGGGAATGTAATAAGGAAACTGAGGCCATTTGGCACGGTGATTAAGTCTGCCAACTTTTTGTTACAAAGGCATTTATTAATCACAAACTAGCTCAGAGTTTACCTAGTGCAGAATGTAATTTTAGGCACTTTCCCTTGTTTCCTTAGAGATAATTGTTGTTGTTGTTGTTATGTGCTGTGGAGTCAGTCTGTTAACTACTGGCATAGACCCTGTGTAGGGTTCAGGAGGCTTTAATCATGAGAGCAGAAAATCTCATCTTTCTCCTGGGGAGCAGCAGGCGGGATGCAAGGGTGACCTTGTGCTTATCATATGGACTTAACAACTGAGATACACCCTTTATCATTGAAAAACCTAGGGCCTAAATTTAATGATTTATGCAAATGAATGTCCTCCTTCCTTTCCCCACCCAAATTCAGGGAGATTATCCAATAAACAAAGTAAGAACATGCTTAACCACATTCTGTCTTATCTAGTGTTGTTATAACAGAAATACCACAAGTAGAAAGGGCTTTAACAGACATTTGTTTTCTCAGTTTACGAGTGTATTCAAGTTTAAAATCTGAGGCACTTGATGAGGAATTGGAAAGCAAAGTCTTAAGTCCATTTTGCAGTCTTGAAAACAAGTTGAATTTTAAAGCTGCGTCTTCTAACAGTTCCTCTAACCTTGGTGCTGACCTAACTTTGATACTGACCTAAAACCATATGCCCGAAAGAATACATTCGTTTTCTCTGAGGATATCATAATAGATTCCCAAAGGATCTTTCCACTATAGTTAAACAGATGTGAAATTTGATAGATGTACTAACTTGTGCCCAAAGGGTCTAGACGCACAGCACCATCTATGAAACTTTATAAAGGACCCCAGAAAGAGACAAGATTGAAGAAGCAATTTTACTAACGGGCAAGGCCATTATTTAACAATCTGTTCCCAACAGTAGCCCTTGTGTCATCACCATGCCACTGTTTTGAGACAGTCATGTAACTTCCTACGAAATTAATATGTCCACTTGGTTTCAATAAATCTAATTTCTTTTAACAGAATTAGCAACTTTTCCCCTATACCACCTCTCTGGGCAGCGGTCTCTGCGCAGGTGACGTTCCAAGGCCTCTGGCAATTTTCCAGAGTTGCAGTCTGGCCTGCCTTTGCTAGGATTGCCATCCAGGTTGCCCCTCTCTGCTCAGCGCAGGCGGCCAACCTCTGGCTCTTTCAAAGGAGACCATCAGTCAATGCAGTTTCCCCCCCCAAAAAACCCCAAAGCTCTCCCCCACCGACCACTCCCGAGGACCCTCTGTCCTCCCCGAAGCCTCCATCCTTCCCTTGCCCACAGGGACACCAGGCCCGACCTCCCCTCTTATGCCTGGTCGCCCTAACTGAACCCTTGACCTCGCACTCTGGGGCCCACCAAGCAGCTTCCTTCCGCTCGGAGCCCTCGGCCCGCCCACCTACTCCTGTAGGCTCCGCGGTGCGCCGGCGCGCCGGTCTGCACAGCGATTGGCTCCCAGCGCTTATCACTCTGGGCCCCGGTGCCTTGCCATTGGTGGGTTTCTCTCAAGGCCTGTCACCCGCCGTAATGGATTGGCGCCGCCAACGAGCGTGAGGAACCTCCTGGGGGTGATCGTCGCAACCCGTTTTCCTCGGGCGGTTTGGCCGACCTCTTGTTATGGCGGCGGCTCCGGCTGCAGAGGGAGTGAGTTCCCCTGCAACTCCGGCTCCAGGTGCCGACAGCAATGATGAGTCTCCTGAAGTCGACGGAGAAGGAGTTGGAGCCGTGGGCGAAGAGAAGGACCCACTCGCGAAAGTAGCGGAGGCCGTTGGGGACAGCGAGGAGGATGGGGAGGATGTGTTCGAGGTGGAGAAGATACTGGACATGAAGACCGAGGGGGTACGTGTGAGGCCTGGGAGACCAAGGCGAGGGGTCTCATCCGACCAGTCATCCTCACCGTCGACCCCCCAGTGGGTGGGTGGAGATGGAGAGGCCGGGAAGGGAGGGTGACTATTTTACTTTCAGGTTTCCTTTATTCCCAAAGGCATTTGTTTTGATCTTCTATGGTGTAGGTAGCTCTGTGGAGGGTTACGGGGAGGGAAGACGCTTAACCCTCCCCGAATTTACAAACTGGGAAAATATTAGCATGTGCACATACGAAACGTAAGCGGGGGACATTGAACGTTGCCGTCACAGCCCTTCGGAAGCATACAAACTCACAGGAGAAGTGGAATGACATGTCCAAATGAACTGGGAGCTGTGTCTATGGAGGTGTGAAGTTTGGCAAAAGAGGTGAAGCAGTTTGGGATGTGGTCTGTGAGGATCAGAAGGGTCCAGACATTCGGGAAAGGGTTTATCTGGGCGTTGGTACTTACAGGACTGGGGCTATCTGCTGGGCACTCAAAAAGAAGCTCACGCCAACGAGTCAGTTCTGACTCATAGCCACCCTATATCCAGTTCCTAGACTACAGACAATCTCGTCTTTTTAGTGCTTTTGAACTGGCGACCTTGTGGTTAGCAACCCAATGCTTCCGTACAGTGCCACCAGGGCGCCTTATCTGTTGGGAATGGGTATTGAAATAATGACTCTTCATAGTCCACCGCTTACACCGTCATTCCAGCCCTTTCCAAAACCTTCATTGGTTCTCAGTTTTAAAATCTGCAAGAATTCTCTTTTACCCTCATAATAAAATTGCAGTCTTTTAGATTGCTTTTAAAGGCCTTCAGAATCTGTGCAGTATCATCCTTTTATCCCTGTGCATTATATGACTCCAGCCACGTGGTGTATTTGCAATCCTTCATGTTTACCAATCTCCTGACCTCAACTGTTCTCCCTCTCCTGGGGAAAGCTTAGTCTCTCAAGACTCAGAAATCAGAAAGCCTTGTTTGACCCTGATTTTTTGCAGTGAGGTGGCTTCCTCATCTGTGCCCCTCTAACACTTGCATCCACCTCTGATCTTTATATATATTTGTCACTCCTGCTCGATTATGGGTTTCTTTAGTACAGGGAATATGGTTTTTATTATTTGTTTGTATCGTTGCCAGTTACGCTTTACCCATTCCATTGCCTTGGAGTCAGATTTAGACTCATAGATTGATTAAGTCAGTGCGTTGGTTGTGGGCTGGAGGCTAGGGGAGAGGTTTGGACAACAGAAAAATTATTTTAGGTGTGAGATGACTGCGGTCTCTTTTTTTTTTTGTCTGTTATTTTGCATTTGTTATATACCAGGTACTCTGCTAATGTAATGGGTTACGAGTTGAGCTGTTAACTACGAGGTCAGCAGTTCGAATTTATCAGCTGCTCCATGGGAGAAATATGAGGCTGTCTGCACCCGTAAATGTTTCCATTCTTGGAAACCCTGTACAGGGTTGCTTCGAGTTGGAACTGACTCCACGGCACATAAGCACCATCATCACCATCTTTTGTTAGGTCCCTGTGTGGCGCAAATGGTTTGTACTTGACTACTAACCTAAAGGGACCTAGTGGCATCATGTAAGAAAGACCTGGCCCTCTGTTTCCATTAAGATTATAGCCAAGAGAACTGGATCCATTCTCTCTAACACATGGGGTCACCAGCCTTATAAATCAAATCTGTGTTAATGGGTTTGATGGTTCTTTTTATTTATTTGTTTGCCTTGTGTTCATTTTTTTGTTCTGTCAGGAAACATTTTTTTAATGAACTCTTGTATGCCAGGTTCTATGTTGGTTCTTGAGGCTCTTCAGATAATTGACACATACATACTCACTGACATTGAATGGTGGTGGCAGGTGTGTGCCCTTGAGTCAGTTCTGACTCATAGTGACCCTGTGTAGGGTTCCCGAGGAGTGGCTGGTGAATTTGAACCGCCGACCTTAGGGTTCAAACCGACCTTGAGGTCAGGTGCTTACCCTGCTGTGCCATAGCAGGACTCCAGGGGTTTGCTAGGCCTCCATTTAACCTGAGGTTGAAAATTTAATCCCAAACACAGTTGGTGCACTATTTATACATACCATTTCTTGATTGTCAATTATATGAAGGGGCTTTAATTAAAAGTATGTGGAACAATTCCATTATCTTTTAATCCTATTATTTATTTGAAGTGATGTTAAATGCTCTCGAGTCAGTTCCAACTCATAGCGACCCTGTATAGGGTTTCTGAGGCTATAAATCTTTTTGGGAGCAGAACGCCTCATTTTTTTCCCCCATGGAGCAGCTAAAACTTTAGACATTGTGGTTAGTGGTCCAGTGCTTATCCTACAGTGACACAGCAAAAAATGAAGTTCTAGTATAAGACTAGAAAGGTGGTCATAAACCATTTGAAATGATGTTGGTATGTTCTGTGAGCTTGTCAGGAGAGATCACCATGATATAGTGTGATCGAAGCAGACTAGACATTAACAAGAATTAGGGATCAGCTATGCAAAACCACAGTCCTGGTGTGGTGCTGTAGGTTAAGCACTGACTGCTACCCACAAGGTCGGTGGTTCAAACCCAACAGCTGGTCTGTGAGTCAGAACCAACTCGACAGCAGTTAACATCAGCAACAGGCAACAGCCAAACCAAACCAGTTGCCGTCAGAGTCGGTTCTGACTTGTGACAATTCCATTGTGTCCGAGTAGAACCGTACTCCGTAGAGTCCAGAGATTGGCTGTGACCTTTTGGAAGCAGGTGGCCAGACATTTCTTTTGGTGCATCTCTGGGTAGGTTCAAGCCACCAACCTTTCAGTTAGTAGCTACACTTAACTGCGTCACACAGGCACCCCTTGAGTAGGCAAAAAGGCTAGCACTCCAGATGAATGGAATGAGGAACACCAGAGGTCCTAAATTGATTGATAACTTATTGGAGCCTGTTTTATCTGACACATACTTTCTTTTTTGAACTTGAAATAAGTTGCTAATATTTAAATTTCAGGAGACTTCATATGAAAATCTATAATAGGGATTTCTCTTGAAAATTCAAGTGGCAACACTGAGTTCGTTTGCGATTGATCCTATATCTCCACTTTGTCACAGTTTCCACCTCTCCACAATTCACTATGGTCTTCCTGATTTTCTTACTCCCTGCCTGTTTGAGTCATTTCTTCAATTTCTGGGGAAAGCAGAGGCCCAGAGGAATAAGTGAGTGATGAAGTCTTAAGTAGGCTCGTTTGACTGATATTCAACACACCTGGTGAAGGAGGAATCTCTTGGAATGAGAAAAAAGATGGGAGCTAGGCTGAATGGAAGGCTTGGTAATAAGGGCTTCTTTTTATGGAAAAAAATGGTTAGTCTTCTATTCATTCTGCTTTTATGCTCCCCAAATTTTCTAATAGAAAGTAGAAAATTACAATAAAGCAAGTGCAGTGTAAAGAATATCTGTTATCTCACTCGTACACATTTGATTGATTTTCTGCCACGAGAATGGCTTGCTGAAGTCTCTGGTGAATGCTGGCTTGAAAGAATAGTATTAACACTGATTTTTATTGTACTGTGTCTTTTAGTTTACATCTACAGGTATTTGTTTGTTTGTTTCCAGAAACAGTAAATGAACTCTATGAATGGCATGGAGACATTAAACCCCCTCCCCCAAAGAAAAACTACAGCCTTCAGTATGGATTGTACCTCAGTGTTAAAATCTTCACCCCTGGAGCAATAAATAACATCATGATAAATGGAGAAAAGTTTGAAGTTGTCAAAGACTTCATTTTGTTTTGATCCACAGTTATCCTCATGGAAGCAGCAGTTAGGAAATCAAACGGACGTGTATTGCATTAGGCAAATGTTCTGCACAAGACCTCTTTAAAGTGTTCAAGAGCAGGGATATCAATTGGAGGACTAAGGTGCTCCTGACCCAAGCTATGATATTTTTAGTTGCCTAATATGCTCTGGTAGCGTAGTGGTTACGAATCGGGCTGCGAACCTTAAGGTCAGCGGTTCGAAACTACCAGCCGCTCCGCGGGAGAAAGATGAGGCTTTCTACTCCAGTAAAGATTTACACCCTCGGAAACCCTGTACAGGGTCGCTATGGGTCGGAACCGACTCGATGGCACTTAACAACAACAACAATATGCTTGTGAAAGTTGGGTCACAATGAATAAGGAAGAGTGTAGAAGAATTAATGCATTTGAGTTAGGGTATTAGAGAAGAATATTGAAAGTACCATGGACTGTCAGAAGAACAAACAAGTCTTTGTTGGAAGAAGTACAGCCAGAATTCTTCTTAGAAACAAGGATGGCGAGACTTTGTCTCTCATATTTCAGATGTCTTATCAGGAAACCCTGTACAGGGTCGCTATGGGTCGGAACCGACTCGAAGGCACTTAACAACAACAACAACATCAGGATGGAGAAGGACATTATGCTTGGTAAAGTGGAGGGTGATTGAAAAAGAGGAAGACCACCCCCAACGAGGTGGATTGGCACAGTAGCAGCAACAATGGGCTGAAGTGTAATAACAGCTGTGAGAAAGGCACAGGACCGGGTGGTGTTTTGGTCTTTTTTGTGCACAGGGTTGCTGTGAGTCGGAACTGACTCCATAGCACCTAGCATTGTGATTGACATATTTCAGAATACGACAGATGACATAGGTTTTTGGCTTCAAATTTGAATTAGAGTCTCTTTTGCCACTTTTTAAATTATTTGTGGGCATGAGATTTGATTGTTTGGTATGTAAATTGTCTTTTAAAATTGTACAACTTAATTATCACAAAGCCAAAACCTATATAGCCAGCAACCACATCAGGAAACATTACACAGACAGCCCCCAAATTCCACTTGCATCCCCTTCCAGTCATTGCCCTTTTCCTCCCCCCAAATCACCATCCGAACTAATTTAAATGGTAAGTATCTTCTTGGCAAGTGACATTTTCCTTGTGATTTTACCACCTAAGCATGTATTCCTCAGTTA